TATATATATAATCATATTATATTCTTATGAAGATATAAAATGTTATCATATGTATAACTTTGCAAAATTTTTCTATAAATTCTGCTGATTTTCATTCATATTCACCTTTCCTATTATTTATGTTATTAGATTATTGTTAATTATATGTTAAAGTTTATACAAATTATTCCATCTTCTATATATATTTTTTAATTTATTTATATATTAAACAGGTATCGCTTTACAATAATTTAATTATTAATCATATATGATCCATTTATAATATAAAATTTGATTTCTATATTTTCAATAAACGTAATAAAAAATTAAAAATTTGTTGAATAAAAATTTATATATTGTACATATAATTTGCATAACTCTGTATTTTATTTAGCAGTTGTAAGTAAATCGTATAAATATAAAATAATAAGTATAAATAAGTATAAAATTAACTTACTTGATAATTCTGCTGAAAATCTTTCGATGATTTAATTCTTGATCTGATTTTTTTAATTAAACTAATATCTCCAATTAAATTTTTTCATCATATTAGAAATTGGAAACAATGAACGAGTATTATAATTACTTTTGAATTAAAAAAAAATAAGAACCGTTGAAACGAGAATTAAAATTGGCAATATCGATATATCTGCAAATAATGAGAAACGATCTCTCGATTTGAAAAGTTAATCGCGTGACCACGAGAGTGCGTTGCAGTTTGTTACAACATGGCGGGTGAGTGAGTGCCTGTGGATCGAACGAAGCTGCCCAAAAACACGAGGGATTTTCAGCTAACCCGTGGTGTTTGTGGGTTTCAGATATATCCTACATCCAGAAAGAAGAACTGGACGATTCTGACGAAGGTGAGTACTGACACGGAAATACATCTTTCATGATTGTAAACGTGCGTGAAAGAAGGGGTTGAGTATTCGGCACGGTGGCCCCACCATCGAAGCATGCCAGTGTCTAGCGTGCATGGCGGTGGCGTGGTCGTAAACTCATGCCCGTCTAAATACATTCTATCTCGTATAATTTTCATGTTGGACGGGCTTAGTAATTTTATTGTCATCCATTACAATGCAATTGAGACACTTTTGAACGGGTGTCACATTGCAGTTTGGCTATAAACCGTATGTCACGCCGTGATTCTCACATGCGCGACCAGGACACGAGAGTGTCTCGATGGCGTTTTATCGGTTAGGGGGCGCCACAAAACGTGCCGCGCTGTGTTTACCTCGACCGCAGGCTGAAAAAAGAAGAAAACAGAAAAAAGGGCACGCGGTCGCTTTGCATCCTCATGTATTGTTCCTATCTCTTTCCACCGTTTTCGCATATGAAACACGATATATTTTTCGTATATATTTCGATCATTATTCTTGATTTATAATTGACGATACGATGCGACATTTAATAGATATACACAATGTCTTCCCCGGTAAGATTTTTTTTATCGTGTTTCTTCTTCCATTTATATTATAAGAATAAATGAATTAATTTAATTATTTATATCACTAATTTACATAATATAAAAATGCTTATTTATTCATATAGATATTATAATTAAAATATAATTTTTTATAAGATCAGCTTTATACTTGTAATATCAATGCACGTAATTTCTTAAAACGGATTAAATCAAACAAAAGAAAAGTATCCTGAAGGATTGAAGTAAACAGATTAGTTAATACACGGTTATTCGCCTATCGGGGTTACTGATCTTTCGACTTTCATGTATTTACTAGTGACATCTGTCGTATATAAAACTAAACTATATTATATATTAACTTTCAATACAGTTTTTTTACGTATAATTTTAAAGTTTTTTAGCACATAATCGAAACATGTAACGAGATATCAAAATTTATAATTCTTCGTATACTCGATCGGTATTTGATGATTTATCATATGTTTATGCAGGGTGATAAAAAAAAGATATTTTTAATTATTAGGATAGAATAATTTATTTTTATTAAATAAAAAAAGAAATTCTATCAAACATTAGTTATGGAAAATGAATATTTTCAAATAATTTTTTGTTTCCATTAAATCGAACAATTTCCTCGCTTAAAGAGCTATCTACTGCAGGTAAGATATCAAGCGTGTATGGAAATGAAAGAAGGATATGTAGAAAACTTCTTCTATAACCAGGAAAAGAAGAAACGATAAGATAATCTATTGTTTTTCCCAAAACGAGAAAATCGTTTACTTTAAATCATTGAATATGAGAATGTTGTTAATTTTAAAAATATTAATTTTTCGATTCATGTTTATCAAAACTTTTTTTCCTCGTTTAATGATTATTATTTGATACGAACACTTTTTCTCGTTATTTCGTTCATACATGAATTTTAAATTTATTTTGCAAACTGTAAGATAAATAAATCCTAATTGATATTCGGATAATCTTTGATGAAGATTGTGTTCTACTTATATAGGATAATTATCTTTCTTTATTTCTTTTTCTTTCTTTTCTTATATATACGTTCTTATATATATATATATATGTACTAGCAATCTCACCAACTGTTGCTTTTAACTAACCCATAGTTGGTTCTAATCGACTTTATCAAACATTCCAGAGGTCGTTTATCAGCTTGGCTTACTTATATTTCCAAACGCGACTAGATAGAAAAATATTTAAGTCTGTGCCCTTCGATCCTCGAGGCAATAACCCGATTTAGATCGCATCGATCACAAGACAATCATACGAATTCCTATCAATGATAATTGAAACGATTCATAAAATTCCTTTCATCTTTTTATCAATAATCTTAGTAATATATCGAATAATATACGATTTATAATGATTCGTAATCATATAGCGATTCATCTAGATTCTTAGAAATCGTTAAATCGAATTATACTCATACAGATTTTTTTTCTTTTTACGCGAATAATCATTTGCGATTCATGACTCGTATATTCTGTTTGGTGACGTGCAACAGTAGCACATGACGCACTGCTTCCTGATTCATACTTCCGACTCTACCATTCCCTCGATCATCGACTAGGCGCACATGGAATTTTTTTACGACTTTCGTGCGTGGCCAATTTCGTTTCGGATCTCGTCAAAGTCACGTTTCCTCGAAAATCGTTTTCCTCGAACAACGAGTAACTGAACGGATTAGCTTTGACTTGTATTTCCAAGCATCGATAACAATGGTCCTCGTCGTTTCACGTCCATCCATGTTACGACACGATCGAACACGTTTGCTGAATTTTTCGAACTCTGACATATGGCGATGACTACACGGGGGCCACACGACGAGCGATAGTAATCAGTCGCGATTATGCAAATGATTCGGTGACTGGTTGTGACAGCTAGCGGGTCCGACGTTTCTTGGGTATCAATGAATCCTTTTTTCCATTCGTGCTACTATACATTGTCATCGTTTACGGATTGCTTCGTAATTTTTACCTAGTTACAAAATATTTTCAAATTTCCGATCCAATTCATGAATATATCGTACTCACAATGGACTAAGATTTTTTAATACGTTTTTCTTTATCTTTTTTCTTTTTTTTTTTTTTTTTTTTATCGAGTATTTGAAATTCGATAAAATTTTATTGCAACTATACGCGAGAATCGTTATCCTTCGTGTATTTAGATGCGAAATTGAAATCGAAGTGATACATATATAACATATATAACAAACTCGAAATTTATTTGGTACGCGATAAATTGGTGTCAACTTTGTTCTCGATTCACAAAGGTAGGATTTATAGATCGGATATATGTTAGAAATACATATGCGTAGATGTAAAAGGATGATGGACCGATTATAAACGTGGACTCGACGAGATCGATCGAACTCCAACAGGTACGAAAGTTGAGCGAATCCTTGCGAAACATTTGCCGCGAAGAAAAAGAGCAGTCTATTTAACTGGTGCGTACGTTGCTCCCTATTCTGTGTTTGCGTTTATCGGCAAAGTGATCTCTCTCTCTCTCTCTCTCTCTCTCTCTCTCTCTCTCTCTCTCTCTCTCTCTCTCTCTCTCTCTCTCTCTCCTTTTTTTTCTTTTCTTTCTTCCCTTTACCGGTACGATGTCGACAACGGGCGAAGAGGATAAGAGACGAATAAAAAAAAAAATGGGAGAGGAAGAGCCATAGGACGAATATAGAGAAACTTTAATTTCTTGGCATTGTGAGGAGTTCCTTGCCCTTTCAGCCTTTTCAGTTCGGTGGTCTGTTTTTGATAGGAGGCCACGTCGTCTAGACACACCGGGGGTTGCCCGGCTTTTATAATCGCAACGAAATGCACCCCTCCGTGCTCGACGCAAAAATACCGGTTTTTTTTCTCCCGTTACGTTTCTCTCTCTCTCTTTCTCTTTCTCTGCTCCACTCCTCTCCCTATTTCGCCAACGTCTCTCTCTACCCCCTTGGCCTCGTCACCCCTTCGTTCCGTAGCGACGTGCCGCCGCGTTACATTAAAATGATTTATTCTCTTTATTAAATTCGCATTCGAGGCTACGAGAGCGCGTTCTCGACTCGCGTGAATCGAATCTCGAGACCGGATACAGGCCAACGATGTCGGTGTCTCTTTCGGTGGCGGCGACTTGTCTGTGCTCGAATCGTATACGGAACAGGCTTCCCTCCTCTCGACCGAGAGGGGTAGTCAAAGGTCACGGATATAAATTTTCGTCTTTTTCACTTCGAGGATATACTGTATCTCGACGATCGTAACCGTGTTCATTCTCACCGTAACCGTGAATCGGTTGCCGTTTTATCGTCGAACAAAACTTTCGACAAGTAGTTTAAAAATTTGAACGACGAAATAGAAATATATCGAGAGGAGCGATATGAAAGTCGTCGATCGCATCCAAGTAATTTTTGAGAAATAACGTTGTAACGAGGGAAAAATTGATCGTCCATTGATCGCAAGGTTGCGCAAATTCAACCCTAGTTGAGGGAAACGCGACGACCCAGAGGAACGGAACGGA